AGGCCGTACTTCCCTGCTCTCTGGTCTGGGACTCACTTTGGCTCAATGGTCCTTCAATGCTGACAAATTTTCCTTTATAACTTTATTTGACAATTTCCACACTAACCATTCTCTCCCCTCTCCTTTTTTTTTTTCAGTCCTTAACTCTGACTGCACATCAGAATTACTCAGAGAGCTTTCAAAACTTCTATTGCCTGAGTCATGCCCCAGATCAATTAAGTCAGATGTTCTGGAGGCGGGCCTCACACCTCTCCAGGTGATTCTATTGTGCAGCCTAGGTTCGTAACTGCTGATAGTAATATAATGCTATTTAGCTATGTGCATAGCACAAGCAGGAAACAGAAGCCCAATAAGCTGGTATCATATCTTCTCCCCATCACACTTTCCTCTCTTCTAAAGGTATGTGACCTCACCTAGTTTCTGCTGTTTGTATTAACATAATGTCCAGATTTTGGGGGGTGCCTTGTCCTTACTCAAATGGAAGCCCTGAAGGCATTTTCTCACAAGTCTCTAGTTCAGTATTGTTAGGTATACCAGCAAGATGAGGTAAGACAAAATACTTTTGACATATATGACAGATGGAAGGATCCAATATTTTATTGTCAGTGTTTTATAAAAATGAGGTAGGAGGCAGCTGGAGGCAAATGGTAAAGAATCATTTAAAAAAAAATGTCCTTGAAAGTAGAAGGTTACTATCGGGGGGAGGGGGAGTAATGAGAGGAGAGTGAGGGATGAATATGAAAATGTTGTAATGAAATCCATTATTTAATATCATTAATATAAGCTAGCAAACCAGTCATGGTGTTATATGCCTATAACGCTATTTGACAGGTGGAGACAGAAGGATCAGGGTTCGATGCCAGACAGGGCAAAAGTTAGCAAAACCCTGTCTCAAAAACAAGGCAGGTAGGGTGGTACAAGCTTGTGATCCCAACTATTTGGGAGGTGGTGGTATGATGATGACAGTCTGAGGCTGGCCCGGACAAGAGCACAAAAAACAAACAAAAAGCAAAAGGAGTAGGGAATGGTTCAAGCAGTAAAATGCTTGACTAGCAAGCACAAAACTCTGAGTTCAATCCCTAGTATGGCCAAAAAAACCCCATACATATACACACATATATATATACATATATATGTTTGTAAGCAAATATATCCATATAAAACTGTGAAGAAAAAGAATGTCTTCATAGTTCACTATGTAGGCTTATGATGTGATAGAAAAATGAGTAAGGAATGATCAGTCCCACAAGGTGAGAGTCTGAGATGGTTTATAAGATATATGTTGTGTTAAGTACTGTAAAAGATAAAAATGACACGAGATTTGGAGATATGGAATGGGAAGTGATTTTCATCCAGGAGATTATGGGAGCCTTTGTTTGTGGGAGAGGTGGCATTTGAGCTGGGACCTAGGAAATTGGTTAGGACATGAATGAAGATGCACAGTGGAAGGAAATGGCCAAAAAAGGTAAAGAGATGTGAAGGGCAGGGACAGCAAAGAGTCCCACTTCCTCCCGTGCAGAGAGCAGGAGGCAGCAGTATTTGAAATACTGCTACTTTGGTAGTTTGTGAACTGTACCCCATCAAGAATTTGGTTAATGGGTTGTAAGTGTGGCTTCCAATCAGTGTGCCTCCTTAGCAAGTGTAAAGACCTGAGTTCAAACCCCAATACCACCAAAAAAAAAAAAGTTAAATCTTGACAAGTTGTGACAGTTTAGTTGTTTGCTTTGTTTTTGTTTTTGTTTTCCAGACAGGTTCTCATTATATAGCTCAGCTCAGGCTGGCCTTGAATGCTCAATCCTCCTGCTTCAGCTGGAGGGAGTGTTGGAATTACAGGTGTGCACCACCACATTGGGTTCATTTGCTTTTTCACACACATAATCTGAGGTGATGTGTCCAAAGGGTTCAGTAGATGTAGATGGAGAGGCATCATGAATGCATTTGTATATTTCAGTCTTGAAAGGTCCCAAATTAAGTTACAAAGAGCAGCTTTGTAATCAGAAGATCAGTTATTTCAATGATCATTTTTTATGAGGTGCAAATTTGGCCACCTATTATCTCCCATATTATTAATTTTACCTCAATAGATGAGTACTCTACCACTTGAGCTACAAATCCAAGCCTTAATTTTACCTCAGTAAAAAAGGACAATGCCAGGCCTGTGCAAGTTAAGGGTAAATTTGTGAGTGGAGATGAGAAATGTCTCTGTTAACAAGAATGAAGCAATGTGCACGAATCATTCCTCAGGAGTCTGGGAGGTGGGAGTCTGACAGCTCAGGGATGCATAGAGCCCTGGTAGCCCAGCAGCTGTTCTCCAGAGCAGACAGCAGCCATTACCATGGCAACATCCCCTCCCTGGAGTGCAGCTCTGTCCATGAAAACCACTCATCATCTAAAAATTAACGTAAATGATCCCTAGTTGGATGCTATACAACAAAAAATATTCTTATAGAAATGTCCTTTCTGTGGATAAAAGAACTAAATTTGAATATAGACTGTGGGTGAGATGGATGGTCCTCAAATTTCAGCTTGTTGCAGACTCAAGTTTGGTGGGTTTGTCAAACAACAGATGGCTGAACCCCAACCCTAGAATTTCTGATTCAATATGCCTGGGCTGGAGGCCAAGAATTCGTATTTCTAACAAGTTTCCAAGTGATGTTGATGCTACTGGTCTGGGGTCCCATTCTGAGAAACACTAGATTACATACATTATATCAGTGTTAATTTCCTGAGTTTTTACCACTGTACCGTGGTTATACTTAAGAAGGTTTGACCTTAGAAAGCATAGTAGCATCTGGGACAAAGGAGCATCATGTCTGCAACTCTATGTTACTTAGCTATTCTTTGCTACAACAAAATACCTCAGAAAATCAACTTAAAAGCAGGACAGGTTTATTTCGGCTCATGGTTTTGAAGGTCTTTCTGTACATAGTACATAGTCAGCTGCCTCCATATCTTTGGGGCCTGTGGTGAGATAGTAGAGAACACATGGTGGAAATAATAGTAGCAACGAGAAGAGAAGCAAAAAGAGTGACGCATTCCAATTTCCCCTTCAAAAGCATGAGTCCAGTGACCAACTTCCTTCCTCTAGGTCCCATCTCCCAAAAGTTCCACCACATCAGTCATCACTGACTGGCAATCAAGTCTTTAACATATAGGGTTTTGTGGGATATTCAAGATCCAAACTGTAACAAATTTACTCCCAAATGGCTTTTAATAAATTAGATAGAGCAAATAAATAAACAAAATGAAAAAGAAAATGTGGAAAAATGATAAAACTGGGGAAACTGGAAGAAGGGTACATGGGAGTTCATTGTGTTACTGTTGTAACTCGTCTGGGAGTTCAAAATTATATTAAAATTTAAAAATTAATGTATGGAAAGAAAGTTATAGCATCTCATCTATACATGTCAAATATGGTAGCTGCTAGCTACAAAGGGTTACTTAAATTTAAATGGATTAAAGTTAAATAAAATTTAACATTTTGTTCCTCAATGGCACTAACAAAAAACTTCAAGGGCTAAAAAGTCATGTGTGACTAGTAACTACTGTACTAGAAAATACAAGTATAGACCACTTCCATCATCACAGGACATTCTGTTGGGCAATGCTGATTATAGTTTAAAATATTTTAAGATCAGGAAAGGGTTTCTGAAAAATTCGATGTTCCAAAAACAGCAGCAGAGGTAGTAGTCATCATAAACAGTAGCAGTTGGTTATTTCCGAAATAAATTTATTAACTTGAAGGGGATAAAGAAAAATATGTTATAACAGGTGGGTCACAGTGAAGCTGCCTATGCAAATATCTGCAGTTTTGCAAGGATTAGTGACCTATTTGCCAGATGAGCTGTTCAGTACCACCACAATCATCTTACTAATTTTATTACTAATCCATTGGATAAAGAAGTAAATATTGAAGTGACTGGGTTTTCATTTTTTTCTTCCTCTAAGCAGAGGGGCAAGATCTGTATGGAGAAACCCAGGAAAGCTGGATAGGAAGGCTGATCTAAAGGGGAATGGTCAAGATTCAGAATATTTCAAACTCACAGAGATAAATTTGGCCATTGATTTCATATTGGGTGATACACCAGCTAACGTGTAAAGCAGGAAAGGTGGGGTTTTGTTGCTATCCCTACTCCTTTTGAGCTCCCTTTCCTTATGCCACTTCTTTTCTGCCTTTCTCACATGACACCCTCAGGTTGTATGTAGTTGTCCAAAGTTTCCAACCCAAACAAGTCTGCCTTCTACTCTAAAAAGCAACTTTTTTTTCCCAACATCATTTCTTTGGGCTCCCAGAACATTCTGGGACATACATGTTGCTCTTGGCATCTTCAGGTGTCCTCTGCTTGACCCAACCTGTCACCCACCTTCTACTTAACCTCAGGAGTAAACACACACATCCTCACTACACCTACACATTGTGAAGTTTCCCTTCTCACACCTGCCAAGCAGCTTCATGTTCAGTACAATACAAAAAGAACAGAGTGTAACAGAGTGCAGCAAACAAAACTGCAAATACTTGATAAATCACAAATCAATAAATATGAAGGATTTTCACAGAGAAATGAGCCATATTTTCATTTTCAAATTTCCACTGGGAAAAAAGTAGGCCACAGGACTAGAATCCAAAACTCAGGAGATGTACTTCTGCTGTATCCAGGCTGCAGTTAGGGTATTTAAATGTCTAGTTGGACTACTGCAGATTTGGGAACTCCCCCCCCCCGCCCCAAGAAAAAAACATTCTTCTGCAGAAATTCCTCCTTAAAATATATGCACTCTGACTGAGTTTGCCAAAGGGAGAAAATCATTCATTAGAAATCAGTTTGTCTGTCTCTGAGAGATGCTTATTCTTAGCTACAAGACATGAGATCCCAAATCTTCATAGTTCAACTTCTGGTTTGACAACTGTACTTTCGAGGTGTGTCTTTACATAAGCCTTTTTTTTTTTTTTAACCATGCAACAGATTTTCACTAAGACTTCCAAGAGAGAAGAAAAGTCTCACCTCACAGTACTCTGTGATTATGCAGAAATTATCTTGCTCCACAAAGCTTGCGTGGAACTTGACAATGGCTGGATGGTCCAGCTTGGAAAGGAGCTGGGCTTCCAAATTGGCCTGCACAGTCTCATTTGGATTTAGTTCTCCAACAGAGATTTCCTTCAGCACTTTTCTGCAGCCAAAAAAAAATTTTTTTAATACATTTAGAATTGAAAAACTCATTTTAACTCTTACAAGCAAGTGGTGCAAAGCCACCAAATTAATGCCAGGTTGTGATTACTTATGTGTACTACTGCCTGACCTAACACTGTCTCCTGGTATCCCTGGGTCTGCTTCTTGTCCTGTCAGTGACACGGCCCCCCAAAGGCCTCTAGTCTCCACGTCTGTGCTCTGTACAATTTTGTACAGGCCAGACACAGAGTTAATCTTGAGCCCTTCTGTCTCTTTACATGCTTTGGGTTCACCTGGTCTCTCTCATGATGTTTCTGTCTCTGTATGTTTTATTTTTGTCCTCTGCTCTCCTGTGTCTACCTCTGTTTTTCTGTTTCTATCTGTGTACCTCTCTCTCTTTCTCTCTCTGCATCTTTCTATCTCTCTCTGCCTCTGTGTATATAAATATACACCACACACACACACACACACACACACACACACACACTTCTCTTACTCCCTCAGCTCTAAAATTTTCCAAATCTATCAATTTAATGTCAGTAGGAATAATATCTATTTATTTTTTAAACTGCCCTTGACATATAATGCTTTATCACTATCAGTTCTTAGGAGAAAAAAATTTTAACTGAAAACATTGACAGGGGTATTTAGGAACTCTAGCCTGTATAAATGGAAGAAGAGCTCATTAAATCGCCAAATCGTTAATTTAAAAATTGTGATGGCTCAATGAAGAGTGGACCAAAACATTATGTCTTTCCATGTAAGAAAAGAATAGTCTGATGAGCAAAGCAATCACAGCGCCACAGTGTAAGCTAGGCAGAGAGAAGCGCTTTGGAAAGCCAACTACGTGTGCAGCCAGATGCTGCTGATTACAGCAAGCTTTGGCTACGCATTCAGGCGAGTTCTGAAAACATTTTACAAAGATGTCCTTTCAGAGTTACCACCCATGCATGTTAATTAAAGTCTATTTAGAGTAGAAACTCTCTTAATTAAGGACCCTGTAACGAAGGATGGATTCACCGTCATTTTCCAGTTGTGTCTAACAGATGCTCACCCCTGCCCTTGCCATAGGGAGTGCCTGTGGCTTGGAGGCTCTCTGGCATGGTAAAGTTTATATCATATAAGCTAGAAAAGCTAAACCAAATGCTTAACAAAAGCTTGGAAATGACAAGTTGTGAAATAAATTGCTGTCAAGTTTTAATAAGACAGTTCTAAAAGTTGGTTAAACGTTAAATTCTTATTCCACATTATACAAGATAAACCTAGAAAACTTAATATACTATGGCTGGGGCTTATGCAAAAGTATGAAGGTGTACCTAACTAGAGGACATTAGATGTTAGCTATACATTAGAAACAGAGAAAATTTGCAAATATGTGTTTTAAGTTGATGTTTTAATGAGTGTTATTTCATTTCAAAATTGTTTCCTCTATCAACCAAGTACCAGCTCCAATCACATTGAATAAGAGGGCTCCTAACATTCATAAAAACGTGACTATACTATCAACTTTTCATTAACTCATGCAAGTCTTTCCCTTTAGCTGTTCTATTGTGGAAGGATAGTAGTTTCTTGGACAATACCAAAGGAAGAACTCGCTTTTTGGGTCAGATTCAGGGCCTAGAAGCTTCTGTTGCAGTCAGCATACTGTTGTACAGCTTTCCCCAATGCCATTTCTCAGTGAGTCTGTGTGAAAAGACCCTAAGTCAAGAAATCTGTCCCAGAAACTTGAGAACACTTGAAAAGTGCCCTTATGCTACTCTAGTGTTAGGTAATAGTGTCTGACTTTTTTTTTTTGACCAATAAAAGATGGGTCACAGTTCTGTCCTCTAAAGTCTCAGAAGGAAAACCTTCTACTCCAAGATGACCATTACTTAAGTTTTTCTAAAATTTGAGTACTTTAACATTTTGTTAATTTTAAATGTCCTCCCTATTCTTCTCATTCTGAACTCATCCCATCCCAAAAAAACAAACAACAGCAAACAACAGCTGCTTCCACCATGGGAAAGTTGGCTGCAGTATCCCGGGCATCTCTGCACGAGGAAATGCCAGAGAGTCAGGCTCTACCACTCACAAGGTGTCTTTCAATACGAGTGCAGGTTAGAAAGTTAGAAGATTTGGCTCCCTTCCCCTAGTGTCCACATTGTCTTGTTAGGTATTGAAGACCTGTTAAGACTCCTTACTTGATAACAAGGTAGAGTCTACAGAAATTCATGTTGGGCAACATATTTTATCAAATAGAATTTGGTAGAAATGATCTGTTCTTAAGAGTGGCCTCTCAGACTGTTAGTAAGCCCAAAGAAACAAGAAATGACATGTAAAGCTACATTTTTCTGTAACTTCCAAAGACTGTAAATGACATCTTCATAGTTTTTTTTTAGTAATTTACTGTCCCCTGCTAGTGAGCAGTTATAAAAGTCACAGTGGTTAAGCACGACAAAATAAAACCTTACATAAACTGAGCATAAAATTTGCTGAAGGAACAAATGTTATATAAAAAAACTTAAAAACATTTATTTTTCCTTGCAATAGAGCATGAGATTTTACAATAGTTACCTGAGCCCTGTCTGGCAGCCTGAGAACAAAGCACAAAATCTCATTTACCCTCAGCTTAGTGGACCAAGTTAGAGCTATTAGCAGGTAATATCTATTATAGTCATCTCAAGGTGATGCAGAGATATTCTACCTTCCTTGCCCAAAATCGTGTTGCTGAACTGACAGAAGAAACTCTCATGGCATATCACTTAATATGAGATCCCGATCAGTCAAAGATAGCATGGAGGTACCAAGTCAAGGACAGCTTGTCACTTGCTCGGTGACTCTCAGCTTGTCACACTTCCTAAATAATATGACAGATATTTATTTTATCAGAGCCTTAACTGTTCAGAAGAAACTTTTTGACAGCAGCAAAGATGGGCACCCTTGGAGACTCACCTATCTTGCAAACCTCCTGCTCTCTTTCCTGAGTAACACATATCTTTCTTTCTAGAACAAGTAGTAAACTGACCAACTTTGGAGAATGATTTTGCAAATTTAGGATAACTGTGGCTAATTTTAAACCTAGAAACTGCTCATCTTTTCCACAAATGGGACACATGATAATTCTGAGAGATTTATCCTGGGCTATTTCCCCCTAAATCTCTTTGTATTTTTTTTTTCACATTTTCCCTGATCAGCCAGCAGCAGACAATGCCTTAGGAAAAAAGAGGAAATTTCTACATCAAATGTAAGTCAAATTCCTGGCTTTTTAGTTTCCAAAGGAGAGTCCAATTATAAAAATAAAGAATATGGGGGAACACTTAACCAGTGGGTGATCATTGTTCCAGCCCCCAGCTAGAGGCTCTGGATCAGGACAAAGCAAAAAGGTCAGAAGGCAGGTAAGAAAACTGGATACTTCAGAGCCCTTGAAAATAGTAGATGTATCCTAGGACCAGGTCTAGAGCGGGGCTATACAGAGAACTCCAAGATAGGTAGGAGGGCCTCTGAGCAAAATATTGGTTCTCTCTTCCAAAATAAAGTGCAGAACCCTGTATTTTCTTGGGTCCATTAAAGGTAGGAATTACAGAAAGCCTGTCAAAGGGCATGTAAACACATGAGCCAGTATCTTGTAGAGAGCCTCAGCAGGGTCCTGGAGATGGGAACGACATCCTATTCAGTCATGGCCATCTCAGCAAAGGCCAGTCAGTCAGCAGGACTACAAGGCTTTCCGGTTAGTTCACAGCTAACTCTGTAGTACCTTCCCTTGTGATTGAGCCATCAACATTCAGTTATTGCATGTGCATAGTGTAGAGGGCACTGGGCAGTCATGGTCCCTGCCCTTGTGTGTACTGGGGAAGAAAATAAACAGATAAGTGTGCAAGAGTGTGTGTATATAAAAATATGTTTGTATTTTACAACTTCAAATTGAAGTGACTCCTCTGAAGTTACAGTAAAGGATGTCTGAGGGCCCTCTACTCCAGAGCTGAGACTGTGATGTAGTCATAACTGGGCCCACTTGGAACAAAGTCTCAGGACATACACCAAAGATTTTAAGTTCAACTTAGACAAAAGAGTGCATTTTTGAAATTATGGTAGGTTTTTTCATCAATCTAGTGAGGCAGCAAATACTTTTATCTGCCTTTCTTAAGTGAGGTCTCAATTTGCCTCTCCTGTTTTCACAAGACATCACTGCAGCTGACACTTGTCACTGGTGGCTGCCCAGCACCTGCAGACAGCTTCCCAACATGGCAAGAGACCCCTGGACTGTGGCTCCTGCCTTCCCCAGATGCTAAACACAAACATACATGCCAACCTATCTCTCCCAGGCTCCCTTGAGTTTGTATGCTGATGTGGGCCTAAAACCCAGCTGCACCCACCTGAGACTTTGACATGGGTATGAGCCACGTGAAGAATTGTGGTGACGCAGATGTCATCAGCAACAGCATGCCCTAGGGTCAATAGCAGTAGGCCACTTCAGTGGTGATCAAACATCAACTCTGGCCTCCACCCTGCTCCCTGTGTATCTATGTTGCTATGAGCTAGTTGCTCTGGGACAAAGTCCTTTGCACTTAAATCAGGCAGAGTGCCTGTTCTGGTCTATACCTGGGAGCCCTGACCAAGGCAATCACATAAGCACTTGCCAGTGTGACTACAAATCATTGCAAACACTGGGACAATAAAAACTAAATTACCACGTTTGGCTCATTTAACTCCTTTTTTTTATCTTAAATCTTACAATCTTCTGTAGAATTTAAGGAAACAGATTGTTTTCCCCATTTATGGGTAGAAATATCATGACAATGGGAAACATCCTGTTTAAAGTTATTTCATCTCCTTTAAAAGGACATATAACTTTAAACAGTTTAGGGACATGAAAACCAGTGCAGAAAATGATTTTTTTAAGTGGCACATTAATTTAAAAGAAAAAATGAAAGAACCAGGAACTAAGAATATCTAAAGGAATAGCTAGGGGGAAAAAAATCCAGTGTAGAGTACACTACAGATGGAATTTTATTCTGTTGATTT